GATTATATTCCCTATATAGAATACTGTACCCCAAAAGGAGGATATAATCTTACTCTATATTGGGTACCATAGTACCCCCGAATAAAAATACTCAAGAGCTTCTCTAGGCAGAGCTTTAGGAGGTGTATAGCTGCGGACAAGCACATTTTCAGAGACCAAAACGCTACAACCCTTCACCCTCAACCATAGGGCACCAACGTTCCACATGTGCCATGCTTATTATTGCTGTAGTATTTTAGTATATTATTATCAATTGTAGTATTATCCGAGTATATTCTAATATCATGATCCCCCAAAGACTTGCTGGCAGAGCGTGAGCTGACGCTCGTTCCTGGCGAACATTTCGCCGAATCCATTGGGCTGGAAGATGACGGTTCAGGCTTCAGGGCGTATTGTCTACATGTTGAACAGTGGCTGTAGGGGCGGACGAGAGTAACAAGCATTCTTGCGACCCATCCGTTACACTAGCAAACTCGGGGCACACAGACCCGTCCTGGTTGACTCGGCACCTGGCACGACTTCACTCTCTTCTGACGGTACAAAGGCAACTACTAGATATATCCATCATTTACTGTATATATATGTATACATACCCAGTATAGTACCTAGTATAGCAAATAGTACGGTCCTTCTTATAGTAAGGTAATTGAAGTATCCTGCGAACTGGAAGGAGCAAGGCCTTCTGTTGGCATGGGATCATCTGGCTGCGGCCTTGGATCGATTGCCCTGCTGCATGGCTTGCGACACATGTGTGTATATAATACAGTTAGATATATAGTATAATATAAGATGGTATGATGTATGCAATGTATGCACTATACAATATATGGGTCCTCGCAGACTTTAGTCAAGCACAGGCAAGCAATACTCCTGTACGTGTCGACCTGGGCAGTATGCTAAGAAAACCCATTAGGCCCCACACGCTCGGCTATCATCTGCCTGATTTTCGCAAGGGCGATTCTCAGACGCGTGCTGTGCCGTGTGCAGGGGTGGGAATCGCCTACTATACCTGGAGGTTCATGGTAACTACTTGTAACTGCAAAGACTGGGCTTGTAACCCTGCTCATACGCCCCCTATCTGGACTTATGTAGGTTACTGCAATGATAAGTAGGGCTGTAAGCCCACTTATAAGTAGTTTCTCAGTCTCCAAGTAGCCAGTGGAAACAGCTTGCCATGTCAGCAAGGCTGGCTGAGCCCTGAGACTCAGGCAAAGGGCCGTCTTCGCCCTTGTCCGCCTGCTGGCTACAAGTCTGTTGTGGGTCTGTGAGGGCCTATGCCAATGATTGGTACACAAAAGGCTGACACTGTCAAGGCTCTTAGCTGCTTTTGTATGTCAAACAGCTCCTGGACAGGAGTGCTACACACGCGGCAAGCCAGCGACAGTTCCGTCCAGCAAAAGAGACCGCTGCAGCTTGAGTTGCGATAATCCAGGGCGATGCTCTCAGCTGTACATCTGTGGCCCGGAGCTCAGCATCCGGGCCGGCAAAGCCCTGGTTTCTGTAAGTGTCAAAAGGATGAGGCCACCTTTGTGGAGTGCCTTGCTTAGCACAGGGGGCTGAGGGCTCCTGCAAGCAAATTCCAGGATCCCTTGGAGCCTCCTATATCTTGTCTCGCCAAATCCTTGGGAAGACCTGCTGGGTGAATGCAATTACTTCACGCAAATGGTTTTGACATTTACGAACTCCAGCATGCCAAACGCGGCACACTCTCGACCCAAGCCTGAGTTCTTCACTCCACCAAAGGGCAAGGAAGGGTCGGAGCGCACGAAATCATTCACAAAGCACATTCCCGCTTCGATCTCGCTGACCGCAAGCCGCTCTCCCTGGCAGGGAACTTGTTGTTCTTGTTATTCTTGGGTTATATGGGGATAATGGAAAAGGAAATGGAATTACTATATTATAATAGGGTATATACTGGGGTTATTGGGGTTATATTCCAGTTCTTGTCTGCTGATGAATTTGACCAGGACAGTAGAATGCTCTAGGTCTAAGCTGCTGAGGGTTTGCGGACTTGTCTTTGCAGGTCAACGGCCTTCTCAAGATCTTTCGTGAACCTGGGCAGGCTGCGGCCCTACGAGATGAAACTGCAAATTGAATTTGCCCTGGATCTGATTCTATCACGCTGAGTTGATAACGTATCACTTCGGATTAGCTTTGGGTTGGCTTCAGGAAGGAAGTGAGCGCATAAAAGAAAGGGCGATTTGTTCTGATCTTTTCTTGCTATGTTGCTCCCTTTGTTCTTGTTCTCCTTTCGAGGCAAAATGTGAGGATTCTCGGCACCAGAGCTTGCTTTTCAGCAAAAGTGGGAGACCCTCGACCCGAGAGCTCCATTTTCAGCAAGAATGTGAGGGCTCCCCACGCCATAGCCTGATTTTGAGCAAGAATGTCCATGCAAAAGCAATAATAGCAGGAATAGAAAGCATAGCAACAAAAGGAATAACAATAATAAACATAAATTAGACAATAATCTTGAAAAAGATATTAGGACAAGAGAAACAGAACTATAAAAAGGAGCACGGATAGTACGAAGAATGGTACTAGTAATAGTGCAGCTCTAACACTCAACAGCCAGAAGCCATGTTAGAAGCCATGTTTGATGTGATTTCATGTTTTGTGTATGCATACGGGTCTTGCAGCAATTGCAGATTTGCTCCGTCCGCCCGTCCTTCCTTTCTTCCTTCCTTCCGGCTTCCTCAGCCTTCGTTCCTTCCTTCCTTCTTAGGGGCCAGGGGACCACGATATCAGGAGACCACCAAAAAGAGGGAGCAACAAAACGGAACGAAAAACTACGCCCTCCTGAGAACACCCGTTCATGGAAGCAGGGATACTGGACCCGCTGTCACGCCAAATGAGCTACTGTCCAAATTCCCAGTATCCCCCTTAATAGCCCCTATAACCCCCTTTAAAGAGTTTAGACTATGGCTCAAATGAGAACATTCTACTCTCAACGACTCATCAGAGCAGAGATTCAGCCCTCTGCAGAGCAGCACTCTACGCCGTGCAACTGCTGCAGCTTTGGTGGCTTTGCTAGTAATCTTTAAAGGGTAGTTATACTGGGGTAATATAGGTTATATCGGGTTTATATAGGGATAATGGAAAATAAAAGCTATACTGGGGCCATTGATGGAGGATTCCGTAAGAAGGATGTGTACATATACATGTCTTTCTTGTGTGTTTGTTCAGTTGGGAGAAACTCACAACTCCTTGCAGATAGGCCACACAGCCCCCGCCAAGCCATAGTTCGTTTGGTTTGAAAGCCTGAGGACGTCGGCTTCGTCCTCGGCCTCGCAGGTTCTACGGCCAGCCACATGTCAGTGCACCGAGAAATGGAAGCCCTTATAGCCCCCCCCCATTCGGTTTAGGGTTTAGGGTTTAGGGTTTAGGGTTTAGGGTTTAGGGTCTAGGGTCTATAGGGTCTAGGGTTTAGGGTCTAGGGTCATATTGCGAAAGGAAACCAGAATCTAAATAAATCCTTCAATGATCACATGGCTTCGTTCACGCACTCAATATTTCAATCTTGTGATGTCATACGGTTTCACTGTGGCAAACAAGCCTCGATGATGGCAATGACGGGCCCAAAGATCTCAGTCTCAAAAGCCGTCATGCCTGGCGCTCAGAGATATAAGAGCGAATGCAGCCAGGGATATTTGCAAAGTGAGTTACTCCTAGTGGTAGATTTTTGTTGCGCCTGAATTGAATAGTGCTGTGCTGGGCCTTCCTTGCGTTACGTTTAATTGCTCTTGTGTCACCCTCTGGTAAGAGCAAGCCTGGCTTCACATCTGTCAGCACAGTTGGCGGGTAGAAGGACTTGCCGCAGTCACCCGCTGGGGGCTCAGAGGGACCGCCGCAGAGCAGCCTGCATGTAGCAAGAGAGCAAGCTTTTGGGAAACAAATCCATGAAGCCATGGAAGCTTCGCTACATGCTCCCTTCGCCGGTCCCGGCTCAACAGCGGGTGACTGCTCTGCTTTGGAATACGGAGCCTTGAACCCAGACCCCGCACTCTTTGCGCGCCTGGCGCCCTGCGTCTGGCTCTCTGCCACCTGTGCCGCTACGTCGTCGCGGCCTTTGGGGTGCACCAGCGGCCCGAAGTCCACACCATAGGTCCTTGCAGTACGGCCAGGTACTAATTGACAGAAACGCTTAGGTGCAGGCTTATGGCAAGTTGCTCAGGTTTGCACAATAGAATGCTGCAGGGCTGATTTGATGGTTCCACACTGGGCCTCATACAAACACGTGGAGAACAGCATGCGCCTGTCTTTCTTAATGCTCCGGGCTCATGAACTAGAATGCCATCAACGAACTGCTAAAGCCATCTCTGTGTCTATTGACAGAGAGAGGCCAACCATGCAGAAGTACGAGGACTTCAGACTCCGACAGGATGCAATATTGAGGTATCAGAAGTCTGGAAGGATGTCTGTACTCGTCCCACCTCTCCCTACCTGTCTTTCAACTGCTTCCGGCAACTGACGGATTTACGACGTCTCCACCGCCAGTTCGCCTTCTGCCACCTTATCATCGTCAGACATTCAATAAATAATGGTTGCGACGCAAGTCGTATGACGGCGGGCATCACTATGGTCATCACTCTCCACTGCAGTCATCACAGCCACCACCAGCACCGACACTGCCACCGCCGCCGCCACCTCCAGGCCGGCCAACTCCACCATTATCATCGGAACCCGGAACGCACTTGAGCTATTGACGGCGGCAGAATGGTCACAGAACTTCGCTTGTAGTGGCTAGTAACCAGTAGATCGACTGACCGCTTGAATCCAATCCTCTGGCCTGGAAGGCACGCATCAGTCAGGCAGCCCTTTTCCACGGAACTTATTGGTACCACCAGTAAGGCGAAGGCTCACGCCCAAAAGTGAAGTCAGGCCAAGTCTCTTCGAAGCGACCTTTTCTAGGACCTTCTGCTCAAAGGCAGCCTTCACACGCTTGTCCACGATAGCCCTCTTTGGAGCGATGCATGTCCTTACTTCGGCTTCATGGGGACCATAACTACCTAACCCTAAACCCTAAACCCTACACCCTAGACTCTAAGGGGTTTGGAACCCCAATAGAAATTATAATTTCAGCTGAACATCAGGATTGTTGGTAACAGAAGTAAAAAAGTATTTTCAGGAACCTTGTAGTAGAGCCCTAAAGCCCTAAACCCTAACCCAGGACAAGAGTCTGTCCCGAGTTGGCCACACGGGCGTTCACCACGGCCTCTGCCGCCGCGTCTAGGTCTGCATCTGCCAGGATGGCGTACGCATCGCTGCCACCAAGCTCGATGACCGCCTTTCACAGTGACCCTTGGGGTAAGGGAGTATATTGGGGCATATAAGGATAATGGGAAGAAAATGGAAACGACTATAATGGGGTTATATAGGGTTTAGGATAGGGTTGCGGGATAAATGAGCTCACCTTTTCTTCTGCCTAGATAGACTTAGTAAGGAATGAAGACATGGGTTACACGGACAAGCACTTGCAAAAGGGTCCATTCCTGCGGTGGTTACCAACCCTAAACCCTGACTAATAAAGTAGTTTCCATTTTCGTTTCCATCCCTAGACTAAGCAGCAGTAGGAAAGAGTAAAGTAGTTTCTGTTTTCTGTGCCACTCCCTGAGCACCCTAAGCTCTAAACCCCAAACGCGCACTGATGTAATAGTCTCGATTCTTTTCCATTCTTACTAGGACCCAGTAGGGAGCAAAACCCTCCAGATGCCCCTGAACCCCAAGTCCCAAAGCCCTGAACCGAGTCCCCAAATCGTAGTTTCCCTCAATAGCGGGACCCCAACATGAACCCAAAAATGTTACAATCCTCATCATCGGGACCCCCAAAATGTACCCATAATTCTAGGAAACCACCAAAAATCTAAACCCTAGATCCCGAAACCCTAAAACCTAAATAAATCCCTAAACCCTAAACGGCTAAACCCTAAATCCACAAACCTTAAACCCTAAACGCCTAAACCCTAAATCCCCAAACCCTAAATTCCAAAACCCTTCAGATGCCTTCTTCAGGAGTATTCAGCTTTAATAAGGAGACCCCAAATAAAAAAGGAAAAGGGGTACTACCGGGGTACCTAGCTAAATTCAAAACCCTTCATATAATCCTATTATATTAGTTTCCATTTTCTTTTCCATTATCCTTATCTACCCCCTAAACCCTAAACCCTAAACCCTAAACCCTAAACCCCACCCCCTCAAGGGGCATTGTGAAACCCTTCAGGTGCCTTCTTCAGGAGGGAGCCTGCCTTGGCGGCCACCGCCCGACCGGCACCCTCAGAGCCTGTCAGCGCAACTCCTGGTCCAGAGTGCTCATGTTTTAGAGTTTAGGGTTAGGATATTTTAAAACCCCAGACCCTAAACCCCAAACCCTATAGGGTTTGGCTTGGGGCTTCGGATTTTTTATTGAGGATCTAAGGATTTAAGGCTTCAGGTGTGAGCGCAATGCTTGCGCAAAGTGTAAGGTTCGGATTTCGGGTTTGGGTGCCCCATGGAGATATACAAGCACGACGATTTCAAGGCTCCGTCTGAAGAGTGTTACATGGCGCGTTTTGAAAAACTCTCCACATAAACATACAGATGCGTGCTTTTTGTGGCGAGAATACAAAAGACATGCGTGTGGATGGTTGTCGAATTCGGGGTCCCCCTGTTTTTGACCCAAACATGTGGGGGGGAGGGGGGATGGGGTGCTGTATTAAGAGCACACTTCCATAAAAGGGCCCTAATTACAACAACCATTATGTGACCGAAGGTGCGTGAGTTTGTGTGGGTTACTAGAGGATCAATGAAAAAAGATATTTCTCAAAACCATGGCTGCCTGTTGGGGCGCTCCCCTTACTACGCACTTCATTATGTTGGCCGTACATCGGCATGACTCGCTCTGACAAATGCATGTATACAAATAGATGAATGCTGGCCTGCGTACATCTACTTAGGTTTCAGATAGATACAGCTAGATACTTTGAGCTTACATACGCATAGGCAACGTAAACAAGCAAGCAACAACTGGCGATGTCCTTGAACTGACGGATGCTCCAAGACAGTTGTCACCTGGAGGTTCTCTCAAAAACAGTAAACCCTAAGCCCTAAACCGTTTCGATGTGCGTCTCAAGGATCCCTGTATCTTGGCGGCGTTTGCTAGGCAACCCCAAGCATGATAAATCCCAGCTGGGTGGTTGTCAAACTTATGATTCCTTTTCTTGGTTCCCCAGTAACCCCATAATCATAAGGGTGCCCTTCTTCCTACTGTTCAGCCTTGATAAGGAGACCCTAAAAAAAGGTAAAAGGGTACTACTGGGGTACCTAGTTTTTGGATCCCTATTATAATGCGGCACCTAATATTTAGGGTACCCAGAAAGGGATCATAATTTTGACAACCACCCCTAAACCCATTATGTAGTTTCCATTGTCATTTCCATTCTTCCTTTATAACCCCTATATATATATATGATCGAGAGACCTTTAGGGATTATTTGCCGAGTCTATTTCTTTCTCTAATATA